AAGAAAAAAGGATCTTCACTTGGGTACACGGTAAGATCCTTTAAAGGTTCCGGGTTTTTTTTATTCGTTTTTTGAAACTTTCAACACATTTGCAAACTTTTTGTCATCTACCGAACCTTTTCGTTGAGGTTCCAGAAAGTACCCTTTTTTTTACAGTGCATCATTGCCATTAAACTAGGTCAACATCGAAATAAGATTAATAAGAAATTAAATGAACCAATAATTGGATGTGATAAGAAGAAAATGTATATCGAGATACCGTTTATTAGGTCTTCAGCATTAGAATTAAAGAACAAAATCATACACCTGTCTAATAAATTACGACTGATCGCGACATCCAATTCTTCACGAAACCACTATCATCGACACAAGCATTTTTCCAACTCAAGAATCCAATTGTTAAACATATGCAGTCTGATCTAGTATGTTATATTCAATGTAATGACTGCGAACATTTGTATAATGGCAAGATAGAACGTCAATGTATACGAAGATTTTATGAGCATGGTGCACCCAAAACAACCTATCAACAACAGCAGTGTAACCATGTAAGTGATGATCTTAATAATAACAACAACATTCCAGAATTAAGAAGAATCATTACGGATTAAAAATAAAGCAGCAGCAGCAACAACAACAACAACAGATGACGACAACAACGATAAGAAGAATGACAAGTCATCAATACTCAGCATGAAAGAGAAACAGGTCATCATATGGACTGAAGTAATTTTCAGGTAATATGGTAAGACAATCATCATTATCATGTGTTAATTAAGGAGTCATTATTGATCAAGGTTTATGAACCAGAGCTCAACAAAACAACACATTCGGTACCATTACTTGTTTTCTCTGATGGTCTACCGAGGGTTCTGTTACCTTGTCCTACTCATTAATGAAGCTTAAAGTCGTTTATTATTGTATTTTTGTTATTTTCGTTTTACGCTTCTCTTTTTCTTTCTGCTGTCTTCCTTTTCTTTTCTTTCTCTCGTTCCTCAATGTATAATTTTCTAAGATCTTAATAAATCTTGATAATAATGACATAGATCATCGAAACGCCGAATAATAGTATTTTTTATTGTAAAAAGAAAAAAATTTTCAATAATGTTGTACAAAGTGGATGTTATTCTTTCATTTACTATGATGAAATTAGAATCCCTTAAATAGTTGGAGTACCTTCCTGGTAAGTAAATTGAAGTATTTTGTCTTAGCAAGATTTTGAACTGAAATACAAAAAAAAATAGAAAACAAGAGTTTATTTATTTTATAGTCTTTCAATTTTTTTGTTTAGCTTCTGGGCGTTCAACCAACCATTTTTGATAGACTAATGCACGTCTTTCCAGATCGGTATCAAATGGTGGTAAGCCTTTATACTTGACAAATATAAGTTCATAAGGATCATGCGAAATGCCATCAACGGCGCGATCAAGAAAAATCGGACTAACTTCATTATTACAACCCCAATTTTCTTTATTACGAAAATCCCAACCTTGATATTTTGTTTGTAATGATGCTATTTGATAATTAGCATGAAGAATAAGTTGACTAGTAGCTATTTCACCGTTAACAATAGC